TACACACACACACACACACACACACACACGCGCGCGCGCACACACATATATACTTTACATAATTTATAAAAATATGACTTATTGAATTACAAAACTTTAATTAGATTTATATAATAAAATCATTTGTTTCATAAAATATTATGTGCAATAAGTTGTCAACTAATTATTATTTACAATTTATACTTTTGTAACGGATTTGCTGATATAAAATATAAAAAATGTCTTATTTAAGAAAATTTATATTTTTTTACCTTACATTAGGAATTTTTTATTCTTTTATATTTTTTATATTTTATATTAGATTTTTCTATTATTTCATTTTTCTTTCAATTCAAAATTTTTAATATTATTTTAATTTAATATTATTTTAATTTAATATAGAAATGGGTTTATACCCACAAATACAAAAGTCGTCTAACAAGTTTTGAGCCTCAACATGAAAATGGCATTATTCATCAAAATCATTCTAATATTACATTATAATCGAACATGCTTTAAAAGATACTTATGAGAATTATAACCATTTTGGACGTTCATTTATTGTTTGATAGTTATTCGTGCCAATCGATGTCAGTGTTTTTGTAAAAATGGAAAAAATGAAATATCGTGCCGTGATTAAATTCTTGCATTTGAAAGGCAATATCGCAAATTAAAACCGAATTAGATGCTGTTTACGAGGACTCTGCTCCAGCATTTGCCACTGTGAAAAGATGGGCAGCTGAATTTAAACATGGTCATACCAACTTGACTGATGATGACGTTCGGGACGGCCAATAACTGTGACTATTACCGATAACATCGAAAAAATTTACCAAATAGTACTGGACAACCGTCGAATCAAAGTTGAAGAGATAGCAGAGCATATCGAAAAACGTGTTTGTCATATATTGACTAAAGAATTAAGCATGCGTAAGCTGATATATATGTTGGGTGCCGCGCTTGCTCATTGTGGACCAAAAACGCATTCGAATGAACATTTCCAAGGCTCTGTTGGAGCGGTTTAAATGAAATAAGTCAGATTTTTTGAGTCGATTAATAACTATTGATGATACATGGATCCACTACTTCACTTTTGAAACAAAGGAACAATCAAAACAGTGGAATTAGGAAGGGTAAATCTGTTCCGAAGAAGACGAAGATGGCCAGGAAGGTGATGTCGACTGTTTTTTGGAATAGTCATGGAATTGTGTTCATCGACTATCTTGAAAAAGATAAAGCAGTGACGGGGATACTACACATCATTAATTAACAAGCAGAAGGCAGAAATTGCGAAAAAACAGTCACATTTAAAGAAGAAGAAAATGTTGTTCCATCAAGATAACGCACCGGCTCACACTTCGATAGTCGCCATGGCAAAAATTAACAAATTGCGGTTCGAATTGATTGACCATCCACCGTATTCACCAGATTTGGCTCCTAGTGACTTTTCCCTGTTTTCTATACTCAAAGTTGGCTCGAAGAACAGAAATTTTGAATGAAGAGGATAATGGATAAATATTAAATCCATCTGTTTAATAATATCCGTAGAAGCCTATTTTGCAGACGCCAATTATTATTTGAATGAGTTAAAGAGGTGGGAGCATTGCTAGGAAAAGTATATTGACTTAAAAGGAAATTATATTAAAAAATAAAACTGAATTTGATCGACAAAATACTTGTTTCTATATTAGGCTCAAAACTTTTCACGACCCTCGTATATGCTCGCAGCCACCTGCACATTATCATATCTTTTATATTTTTATAATTAGAATTTTTTAAATATATAAAACAATTACCAAATACACTCGATCATCTCGATCTTTATATTTCTTATATTTTACATTATATCTTTTTTCTCATGTTATAACATAACAAAAACACCGCAAATTTTCGTAAGTACAGTAGATTTCCTGTGAACTAGCTCCTGTGGGATTAATCTCTATGCCGCATAAATAAATGTCTGGTTTATCTGAAAATATATACAGAATATTATTTATAGAAGAGATTGTAAATAAGATAAAAAAAATACGATATAATAATGAAAATATATATACACATTATATATTTTAAACAGTCTAGATAAAGATCTTGCAAATAGATCTCTCAAATATAAAATATAAATCTTGTTAGTAAAATGGTTATTGATTTAAAATAGATTTTAACGTTGTCAAAATATCAAAATACAAAAATAAAGCTTGCTAATGCAAATTATCGGTAGAAAGAATGAGCAGAATTTGCGATAAATTCTAGATACATCAAAAAGGCAATGTTGAAAGTTATGATCAGGGAGTCGATCATGTAACTTTTCCCCTAGGACGAAAATGTGAAAAGTGAAAAATTTCACGTGAACTTATGATCATGTACGATTTTACGGAATCATATAATTCTCTTGAACGTGAAAATGTGAAATTTTTCACGTGAACTTTTTCGCCATGTACCTTCATGGCGGAAAGGCAGAAATCTAGGGAATTAATATGCTTCGGAATTAGAGAAGATTAGGGCTGCATTAGTATTAAGTATATACATAGTATATACACAATCGATTATTAAAAGATGTATATATTATTGTATATATTTATATATTATTTTTATATATTTTTTATATATTTTTTTATATATTATTTTGTATATATTTATATATTTATATATTATCAATAAAATAATAATTTTCCTTAGCTATAAAACCTATGAAACTGTTTCATGATTTCACTTTCCACGCATCCAACATACATACATAATAGCTATACGTGAAAAGTTTCACGTGAAATGTCAATGTGTGAAAAATGAAAAATGAAAAGTGAAAAATGAAAAATGAAAAATTTTACGTGAAGTTACATGATTGATCTCTTGATAACATAAACACGTAATCATAGCTCCAGTTTGTTTCTTATTATATATATATATTATAATAATATGTATATGAAAAAATATCGAAAATTAAAAAAAGATGAAAACTGTTTATTCCTTTTTCAAATTTTGAATATTTTTTTCCTTATAACATCTATATTGGAAAATAGTGATTTTGATATATGGATCATCAATAGCTGCAACAGAGAAAGTTTTTCATTTTCAAAACGTTTTATACATTGTTATCGTATAAAATTCTTTTAAATAATTAATTTCTTAATGCAATTACTTATTTCCATTTTTTAATCATTAACTATTTCTTTCTGGATCTAAATATATAAATCAATTATATTAAAGAGTATCTTATAACAATTAAAAAGCTTTCCTCTGTTGAATGTGCAAACATTTTGCTGATTTGTATGAGACTCTATATTTTCATTGTCACTAAATATAACACAGTTCAATAAAAAAGCACCAAAAGTACGAATCTAATCATTTCCTGTAATTTTTTGGACGCTGAATCCGAATCTGTTTGTAAAATTGCTCTATCACGTCATAATTTTCTGAAATTTGCAGTTAAAGTTGCAAATAAGTGCTATTTTGCGAATTTTGTCATACTATAAGTACGAAATAAGTATGAAATGCAAATAAATGAGAGAGAAGTGTTCTTGCAATGAAATATATCAAAATGAAATATATTGTGAAAACTTTCAACCTTCAAAATAAATTTTTTTGTGTCCATTATGGTTAATAAGTTATTTATTGTTAAAAATAGAGTCTATTGTAAAAATGCTGTGAAATAGATCATTTATCAAACAGCCGCTAATTTTATTTATTTAAATCTAAATATTTTTTAAAAATCACTGAATACAAATCCGATGTCAAAAATGATTTGTGAAAACTCAAACACAAATCTTTGCATCAAAAATTATATTACAAAATTACGTCATTTTACTGATGTTCAAGTAATATATAATACTCACTTGTAATAATATTATTTGTATAAAAGATTTGATATCAAAAAGTGGCACCAAGTTATATTATTATATATAAAAGTGTTACTTTTTAATGGAAAAAAAG